CTCGGCGCGCCGCTCCCGGGTGCCGCCGCCCCCTCGGCACCCGAAAGAGCTCCGCCTTTGTCCCCGAGGGGAGGTGGGGACGGCGAACCCTTCCCCCGGGACCGCCCCTGGAAAGGGCTGGTGGTAAGGCACGGCGGGCGTGGCCCTAGCGGTCGCCCTCGGTTCACTCCTGACCACATCCCCTGAACGCGTTTTCCCCAATCTGCTGCGGTAGCCTGGTCTGGAGGCCGAGCTGGCCTGCGCTCACAGTTCCAAAGGGATTCCCAAAAGCCGCTCTCCAAGGAGGGACCCCCAGCCCCAGCCGCCAGGGTCAAGCTCTTTCTGAACCCCACGGCTCTCCAAATGAGTGCCCTGGCGTTTCTGTGAATAGGGACACGGATTCACTGTCCCAAGGTTTTGGTGCAGATAAAATAGTGAATAGATGGAAGAAACAGCTCGGACCAAGGCAGACGTGTAGAGCGCTCAGTGTATCTAGCCTGTTTCAGTTTATTCCCTCCACTAAACTCACTCAGTGGAGGCGAAGTGGGGTGGGTAAGACTGACCCTTTCCTGGTCAGTCCTTGTGGTTCTGGTATCCTTTCATCCCTCATGGGTAGATTGGGAAGAGGGTGCCCCGCTCAGGCAGGCGCCGGTCACGTTCACAATCCTGAAACTTTGTGTATTTCCTGCAGCACTGGGCCTGATGTGCACAGCCACAAACGGGAAACGGCCTGTCCATCTCCTCATCTCCTGGCTTCTAGAACTGGGGCGTTCCTCGCTCAGATATCGAAGATAAATATAAACCAAACACGGACTGTGTTTCAGAAGGCTTGGAGTGTATACATTTACACAGGGGATTTGATGCTGCCATTACAAAATTAGAGGAGTTGTGGAAATCACTGATTTTGGTTTTGGTTTTGGTACCAGGGATCAAACTTGGGCCCTTGTGCTTGTGAGACAGGCGCCGGAATCACTGAGCTAAACTCCAGGCCCTAAATCAAGGATTGTTAATGGCAGAGAAGCCCAACCGTCTGAGAGGGTAATTAGGATGTATTAAATAATAAAGTTCATAGGCCGGGGATTTAGCTCATTGGTTCCGCTGCCCGCCTCGCAAGCTCAAGATCCTGAGTTCAATCCCCGGTACAAATAGTAATAATAATAAAGTTCACATTTGAACTGCACCGTATAGAAAGGTTTGAAAAAGGTTCGAACAGATTTTCTCAGTTGGGTGAATATAGTTTTAAAATTTGAGAAACTAGTGACAAAGGGCAGGGGATTTAACCCAGTGGTTCCACCACCTGCCTCACAAGTACAACGTCCCAAGTTCAATCCCCGGTACCAAAAAAAAAAAAAAAAAAAAAAAAACAAAATAAGAAGGAGCCCCTTCTTCAGCGGGGTGTGGTGGTGCTCGCACACCTGTAATCTCCCCACTTGGGAAGCTGAGGCAGAAGGATCCCGAGAGTTCCACAACGGCCAGAGATACATAGTGAGACCTGGCCTCAAAAAAGAAGAACCAGATCAGTGAGCCCTCTGTTATTCCCAGTGATTATAAATAAATATTCCAGAATGTCTAAGTAAGCCTAACTATGGATTTTCTAAAAGTAGATAAAAAAAAGGAAAATAAAATCTAAAATATGTATTTAAGTTCGGAATACTGTGAAAATGCAGAAGAATGCAGGTAAGTGCTTCCTGGTTAGTAACAATGAATGATCTGCCCACATCTCAAAACTGCGACACACCCAGGAGCCTGACAATTGACTGATTCATGTTTTTGGTTTTTTGGGGGTACCAGGTACTGAACTCAGGATATTGCACTTGAAAGGCAACTGGTGGCACTTTAAATTCTGCCTCCCACCCCAGCCATAGCCAAGATCTGTACTATGTAAAAAACTCTTTCATCAGATTTTTTTTTCTTCTTTTTTGAGACAGGGTCTCACTACGTGGTTCAGGCTGGCCTTAAACTCAGGGCAATCCTCCTACCTCAGCTTCCCAAGTGCTGGGACTACAGGCTTATGCCACCATACCCAGCTTTTTTTATGGAAGTCCAGCTTTTTTTAAGGGGATCCTGGAAACCACAAAGCTGGTCAAAATAGTCACTTAAGCATTTTTTTCAGGCCATATTTGCCATCAGACCTAAACTCAAAGTGGAAAACTCAACTAGAAATAAGTGGTTGACTATTACACTGTCAATAGCATATGTCTGCTTACATCATCCCAGAAATTTCTGCCCCCGCCCCGCCGTTTGTAACTTTGGAATGAAAATATCTATCTTGGGACACTGAATGTAGAAAGCATTCAACTTTCTTTTCATTTGTACAGGGGCTTGCAACTAAGTTCGTCTTAAATCTCAGAGGAGATTTTGGATTTGGACTTTTCAAAGGAAACTGTTAGGACTTGGGCAATTCTTGGAGGTGGACTAGTTGCCTTTTGCATAAAGTAATGTGCGTGAGTCTTTGGAGGGCCAGGAGTGGAATGTTTCGGCTTGTGTCTAGATGTCCCCTCAAAGCCTCATGCAGTCCTTTTCACAGCTGGATGGATCTAGTGTGTGATGCTGGGATTAAGGGCCTGTGGTTTGGTTTAGGTTTGGGTTTTGGTACTGCGGATTGAACTTGGGTCCTTCTGCTTGCGAGGCAGGCACTGGAACCACTGAGCGAAATCCCCAGCTCAGAGGCCTGTGGATAAATCATTCTACTAATTGGTTTGGTACCACCCTAATCCCAGTATCCTAGAGTATAAAAGGGGCAGAAAAACACTGTTAAGGTTCGCTTGTTGCTTTGCTACCATGTGGGTGCCATGAACTATTCTCTCCAACACCTCTCTGCCGTGCCACCCTGCCTTGGAGCCAGCCAATTATGGGCTGAAACCTCTACAAACTGTGAGCTAAATAAACTCTTTCCCTTTTAACTGTGGGTGTTGGGTATTCTGTCTCAGCAACGAGAGGAAAGTAGCTAACATGGATGGCCTCTTTAGTAAATGGTTCTGGAAAATTTCCTTTCTACATGACAACGATTAAAACTGGACCCACATCTTTCACCACGCGCTGAAGTAAATATGGATCAAGATCTAAACATTAAAAGAGAAACACTAAATCTGCTGGAAGAAAGAGTAGGTAAAACTCTTGAAGACATTGGTGCAGGCAAAACTATGATTATGAACAAAAACCTGATCACACAGGAACTATCACAAAAAAAAAATCAACATCTGGGATCTAATGTAAAAGCTTTTGCACAGCAAGAGAAACCACCAATAGAATGAAGAAACAACCCACAATGTGGGAGAAATTTTTTACCAGCTGATTGTCAGACAAGGGACTAATATCTAAAATATATAAAATAGGGCCAGGGAGTTGGCTCAGTGGTTCCGGGACCTGCCTCGCAAGCACAAGCACCCAAGTTCAATCCCCAGTACCAAAAACAAAGCAAAATAAATATATAAAGAACTCAAATCAGATCCCCCCAGATTTAAATACCCCATCCAAAAATGGGCATATGAGGGCTGGGGATTTAGCTCAGTGGTTCCACCACCTGCCTCACAAGTGCAAGGTACCAAGTTTGATCCCCGTTACAAAAAATAAAAATGGGTACCTGAAATGAATATACACTTTTCAGATGAAGTAAAAACATGTTCAGCATTTCTAGTTATTTGAGAGATGCCAATTAAAACAACAGTTTCCATCTCACTCCAGAAAGAATGGCTATCAAGAAATCAGGGCTGGAGATTTAGTTCAGTAGTTCTGCCGCCTGCCTCGAAAGCACAAGGATCTGAGTTCAATCCCCGCTACCCCCCCCCAAAAAAAAAAAACAGTTACAAGCTGGTGGGCTGTGGAAAGGAAACTTCTCCATTGCTGGTAGGAGTGTAGACTGGTACAACCACTATGAAATCAGTGTGGAGGTTTCCTCAAATCTAGAGGCTCCATTTGACCTACCTAGTCACCTTCTTTGTATCTTCCTGAAAGAATTAAAAACACCACAGTGATACATGCACATTCATGTTCATAGTGGCACAGTTTGTAGTGGCTAAATCTCAGTAACAGCCCAAATGCCCAACAACCAATGAATGGACAAAGAAGATGTGGTTTTTTTTATACAATGGAGTACTACTCTGCCATAAAGAAGGGTAAGCCTCAGACGTTTCTAACTAAAGGGATGTACCTCGAGACCATGCTCAAATGAAATAAATGGGACATACGTATTCAAATATTTCATTGTTTCTCTGGTATGAAAAACTAAATAAGGACCAAAATGTATAATATATATTGGGAAATGGGTAGAAAATGTTCAAATGGAAGGGGAACAAGGGAGGAGGGAGGGAGAAGGTAAGGAGGGGACAGGAAAAAAGAGCAGAAGGAAAAGTGAACAAAGCATTTGTAATTAAGGAGGAAAAGGGGATGAAGGGAGGGGAGGGGAATGAAAAAAAAAGTAAGATACTTCATGGACAGGTACAAATTCCCTATGATGAATGTTATCATATCTAAAATGTACCCAGAAAAAAAATTAAAAACAACTTCTGGCTCTTGGAAATTACATCATTGAAATTCCCCTAAGTACAGAGCAAGGGTCATGTCCATGACTAAACATTTGACTATTATTTTAGTTACCACCAAAAAACTTTCTGATCTCTAATGATTTCTTAAGGATTACTTGTTTTTATAGTATTGAAGATCAAATTCAGGGCCTCGAGTATGCTAGGCAAAGTTCTTACCACTGAACTATGTTCTCAGTCTCAAACTCGGGTCCTTGCACTTGCGAGGCAGGCGGTGGAACCGCTGAGCTAAATCCCCACCCTTCTAGTTCTTTTTTTTTAATTGTAGAAATAGAAACTAAATCTATTTTATCTATCTTGTTACGGATGAGTGAGTTAGATAATAATGGAAATGCCCCACACTCTGCCAGATTGAGCTCCTTTATTAA